TCCCATGCTGATGACCACAAGGGGGGTCTTGTCAGCCACATAGACCCCTTTGCGGGGCACCACCAGAATGTTGGGCATCAGCAGGATGTCCGCATCTAGTATGGATTTCATGTCAATCATATACTGCATGCCCGTGGCCGAGCGCTCCTTGATGCTGGCCAGCTGTTCCGTGGCAGCGCTCTCCAGCTTTGAGAGTGTCACATCCTTGGGCGGCTGGAACACACTTATGAGTTTCAGGATCGTTTCTGCATCGTATATGATTTGCAGAGGACGTGCCACGATCTTCACTCTCTGATCGCAGAGCCCGTCCAGTGGATGCGTCTCGAAGAATATGTCAAGCAGATTGAATTCGTCGGTGATCTTCGACTCCACCAGCATGGGGGTGTAGCCGTCGCGACCGAGGCCCGTCACCTTGAGCTCCTTCATGCCAGCCGTGATTCTGAGCGCGTCGGCAGCTGGTCGCTGGGTCACCGAGGCGGTGGCCATGGAAAACTTGAGCAGCACCAGCGAGGGCAGATCCTGGTAGTCGTACGACACTCTGGCTTCGCTAGCCGAGCGCGTGTCCTGGTACAGACCCACCTCCAAGGCGATCAGCTTAAAGTTCATGCTGATCGCTTCATAATATTCGGGCACATCCTCGGGCTTCGCGTTCTCCTGGTAGCCAATCGCCTTGTACATCTTGGCCTTCTCCTCCGTCGTCATGGCAGCCTCGAATTTTCGTGCTGCAAATGAAAACTGTAGATTGTAGACACACACACACACAATGAAGCAAGTAGCGAGCAGGGTTTCTTACCAAAATTCTGATCGGCGCCCTCGTTCTCCTTCTTGGCCCCGCCGCCCCACCAGCCACTCAGCCAGCCCGCCTTCTCCACGGGCGCTGCGACCCGTAGCTTCTCTATCTCGATATTGACACGCTGTCGGATCAGCAGCAGGTTGAAGGCATCCAGTTCCTGTTCCAGCAGACTGCAAGTCTCTGTTAGTGTGGCTGGGGGCTTTTTGCTCAGCTCTCGCTCCCTGTATTTCTGCAGTGCACAAAAGAATAAGTCAACAAGGAGTCCAGACGAACAGTTCGTATTGTATGCCAACCTGTGCATAAGTATTGCAGCGATCGCGATGCTGCTTGATGTGTGCCCAGGTCCAGCAGCGTCTGGGTCGCCGCACATGCTCCTCGAGTATGGAGGTGACTGCAAACGTCCACCACTCCTTGGCATGCCCCTTGATTGCTGATACGGTGGAGAGGAGGCAAATGCATACTGAGGGTTCTGAGGATTTCACATATAGCACTGTGGGAGCACTTACGCAGGTCGTACGGTCGATATTTGCGGTAGGGAACGCCCAACTGCATGCGGTTCATTGCATCGCCCAGCTTAATGATGTTGTCGAACTGGGTGTTGGTTAGACCCACATTCAGGGTTTCCATTTCCAAGCAGAGATCTATTTTGGGTATCTGGAAGGCTGGGCTATCGAGTTCGGGATTCATGTTCAGCTTCAGCTTGGCGTTGCACGAGATAGGCCCCAGCACGTAGTTGTAGTGCAGCGGCTTGAAGTCCTTGCGGGCAATGCTCGTCTGGAAGAGTTCCGTGAGCTGGGTCGTCTCGTTGGCAAAGAGACGAGCGGTACAGTTCATGTAGGCGGACAGGCAGGAGAGATTCGCTATCTTGAACACCTGTGCGGCCTGCTGCGTCATGTAGGTCTTGTCCCAGTTGCAGTCCGTGGTGAAGAGCTCCAGACTGTGCAGCGATATGCCAAATGAGAAGGGACTGCCCGTCGTTGTGCTGTCCTCGTATCGCAAATGCACATTGCTTATCGTCACCTGCAGATTGTTCACAATCTGCGCCGTCAGTTTCTCGGCGAATCCAGCATCGGGTTTGGCCGTATCTTAGAGAGAGAAGAAGAGAGAGATAATGCTTACGCATTCTTTCTAGTTTCTTCTGTCTCACTTTTCTCTAGCTCCTTTTTGCGGGCAGCCTCGAGGGCATCTAGCGCCGCCATCTTGGCATCCAGCTCGTACTTGGCCTCTTTCTCCGCATTGTACTTGACATTGTTGTTGGGCGAGACCAGGACATAGAGATCTTCAATGTTCACGATCACGGGCTGGCTATACAGATTCTTCCAGGGTATCTTCAGCACCAGTTTGCCTAGGAAAGACAAGAGTCGCGTTAAAGCTCAAACCCAGAGGAACCCAATAAGGTATTCTCACCCAGATAGCCGTAAATAAGCTGCACTGGCAGGTCCAAGTCTTCCAGCGCATTTTCGCGTATCTTCAGGTTTTGCAAGACCACATCGCCTGCCAAAGACAAAGCGAAGCAAAGAGCAAAGAGTTGGTAAAGTCATGTCATTTCACACAGTAAATAAATGTTTCATGCCATTTGCTTCCAAATGTTCAGTAATTAGTCAACTTTTTGATTTATTGCTGCAATCCGCAAGGGACGGGTTGATGCACATTAACAAAAGCGAAGTCCCGATAAGCAAATAGGTGTACAGTGCGTGACAGTGCCATAGGCCCCCATAGAGAAAGAGAGATAGAGGGCCAAAAATGCCATGATAGAAAAGAAAGCGGCATTGCATAAAGGGTGTAGGGTGTTGCGGTTAGTATTACGCTTTCGATACGCACTGTATGCTGTATGTATAGGGAAGCAACACACCAACAGCGCACCCCTGCCAATATATCAATTCCAATTAAAGGCGTCTGGCTTTTGGGCATGCCGCATTTTATTTACCGAGTTTCGAGTGTTTTCTTGAATGCTTGGAATTTCAAATGAGCAGAAGAAAGCGGTGAATTTTAATTGAATTATGTACGAGTATACGGATGTGGGTCAATAGTTGAACCACCAAGTTCCTTAACTTGGTTAAGGTTAAGTTCCTTAACCTACGCAACTGGAATTATAGAGCAGCCACTGATAAGCCCCACAAACGGGCAGAGTTCAAAGACATGCTATCTGATCAATAGAGGCTGACAACTGATTCCCGATTGGCAAGAGAATTACCCAAAGCAGAAGATTTTTTCGTATTGCTCTGATATCAGCTGAAAAGATAGCTCAGACAGCTTTGAAATACAAATAATATACAATCCAAGTGATTATGTTTATCAATGAAACGATTCAACGAAAACACGGAGCGAATAAAGAAGGAAAATAATCATTTACTTGTGTATATAATGCATACATACAAACATACATACTATGTACATATGTATTACGATTGAGGCTAACCAAGATAAGATTTTGTTTATTTTCTAATACAAACAAAATAAGTGCAATTTTTCTTGCCTTCCAACGAATCACCAATTGATGACGAATAAAAGGGGAACGCTCGTATTTTTTTCCATTGGATTTTTGTAATGATGCTGGAGCGACAGACCACTCACCTTGTCTTCTGATACACAATGTTCAACATTATTTGAGTTGGAAATTAATTCGTGACGACACACAGGCTAGCATTATGTCATCAAGTTCACGATGAAACAAAAAATAAATTAAATTAAATAAAATAAAACAGGCTTGGCTTTATCTCCGACACTGAATAAACCCGTTTGCTTTTGGCTGTTTGATGGAATTTTATGTATAGGCCCTAGACCCCTGAACTTGATACACACATTTTGGTGATGTGGACCCCAAGTGCCTCTCAGGATACATTCAGTCGGGCGCATGTGCACTCGAACGACCTGGTTTATCGCAGCATTTTCTGTAGAAATTGTTTCAATGTGGTCAGCAAATGCTGATAAGCTAAAGTGTTTACAGTTTCACAGCCACCCGATATGTGAATGAATTACAAGCTTACATATGTAGTATGTGCATATAAAAATCATGAGAGGGAGGCTAAAGCAACACAGTGTAAATAGAAGCCGCAAAAAATTTTCCTGTTGCTGATGCTTGCAACAGCGAGTGGCCGGCTGGGCCCTACCCCATGAACGATACACATGGCGCATCTGCAGTCTCTCAACAAACGCAACAGTTGGCCTCTCCCCACCTATCCACCCATCCGAATCCGAATGATGGGAGTGCCTCTGAGAGTGTGCACATTTTTCTCAGCTGTGCGACTCTCAGGCCCATGACCATGTCACTCTCTCTCTCTATTATGTTCGTTGGCGAAGGCTAAATTTGGGTCACAGCGAATTACGAAGGATAAGGTCATCGGTTTGGCTGTTGGGGGACGTAAAAGCAAACAGTGCGTGCAGATAGAGCAATAAAACAATGGCTGATATATGTAATGGATTAAACAAAAGGCAAGGGAACGGGAATAGCGTTCGGGTGGAGCATAGTTGTGTCATACTTGGATTGAGGGGAGATTATAACTAAGAACTCACCTCCCCAAATGCCTATTTTGAGCTGGTTACGATCCAAATTCTCGATGTAGTCTCCCAGCACCTTGTTGAGGACATCGGCAACCACTGCCTCGAAGACCATCGTGTTCTAGCAGCTGGGCGAGTTGATGTTACTTATTGATTTTTCCTTCGTTTTTGTTTAAACAATTTTTGGGAGAGGCCGCCGCGCTCGTCTAGCGCGTATCTTGAGTTAAACACTTTTGCACTCGCTTTCGTTGTGTGGGTACAGATTTTTCTAAAATATACGAAAACATAACAAAACAGATGGAACGAGGGCAACACATAAACACAATAATGATGATGTCATCGGCATTACCGACCGACATGTCAGAGAACGCAAGTCAAATGTTTTGGCACATATTACTAGGCCGCATTGTTTCCAAATATTCCACGTTAATTGATGCGAAGCCGTGGCCAGGCCAGGGCACATTTTACTCCATATTTCCACACCTTCCGAAGACCTCGGCACACTGTTTCCATTTATTGCACGTGTGTCTGCCTCGCTTTTAACTTTATATACACACACGCAGCTTAGCTTAGCTATCTCTATTTACTGAACACCATTTACCAGCATGGAGTGCGGCATTTCTTTTAATACGATACGCAATACAAAATTCTTGTCCGTTGCGTTGCGTTTGCGTGTTTTCCGAACTGAACTCAACAGCTGTGCTGCTACGTTTGCTATCGATATCGAAAAAAGTGTCGTAGCTGACGTGTTTTGGTTTTCTGTGAGCAAAATTAACTAAAATTAAAATGAAAACAAGGCTTATTTTACTGTGCCTGGCCCTGGCGCCTGTTGTGCTGGCAAAGAAATTCACCGACGAGGAAAAACCGGCTTGGGCCAAGAAGGATATACGCGACTACAGCGAAGCGGATCTGGAGCGTTTGCTGGACCAGTGGGATGCAAGTATCTTGTAAAATCAGACAATGGAGAGCCCGCATAATGATAGGGCGTCGTTTACAGGAAGACGAGGACCCACTAGAGCCGGACGAGCTGCCCGAGCACTTGCGTCCGCAGCCAAAGCTGGATTTCTCAAATCTGGAGAGCAAGAACCCCGAAGACTTGCTTAAAGTGTCGAAGAAGGGACGCACGCTCATGACTTTCGTCTCCGTTACCGGCAACCCAACGCGTGAGGAAGGCGAAACAATTACCAAAATCTGGCAAACCAGCCTTTGGAATCACCATATTCAGGCAGAGCGGTATATGGTCGATGACAACCGTGCCATATTCCTCTTCAAGGACGGCGCTCAAGCCTGGGAGGCAAAGGACTTCTTGGTCGAACAGGACCGCTGCAAGGGCGTTTCCATCGAGAACAAGGAATACCCTGGCATACACGCTAAGGACGAGCTCTAGACATCGTGTTAACTAGACATTTACATTTCTGCATTCTCATCCAACTTTACTTTTAAGCAAAAAGATGAACAAACACAAAGGTCGTAAGGAATATTAATTTGTATAATAAAAAATAGAATTCTGATATTTATTATTAATATCAGAAACTCATAACACCTCGTCTAGCAAACACACCTTGCCGAGTAAAACGTATAAAGATCCGTTGGATGTATGCAAACTCCAGCCATATGCGGACAATGCACATTTTAAAAACCCTTGGTTTACAGTTCTATGGTCTGGAATTTTAACATTAATTAAATAAAATAGGGTATACAAATGTCCATATTCTCCTAGCTATAATTGACAAGAAACAGGCATCTAATAAAACGTAACGCACTTACGTTTCTTACGTTTACATCCCTGTGTAGTTTCCATGTATCAAATGTATAGTTACTATGTAGAATTTTGGATATTTTGTTTGACCTTTTTTGCTTAAATTATATTTTATAAACAAATCCAATAAAAAAAGAGTTCTGAAAAGTAGCCAAACTTGTACAAAATTTATTGATTAAATGGATAAAATTATTTGTTTTGTGATGAGGGTGCTAACTAGCTAGTAATACTAAACCGAATATAAAAATCGAGGAATATCATCTTGTCGTGTCCGTCAATATATTTACGGTATATTTTGATAATGACAAGGTATATTTCGGTATATTTCTGAGGGTCAGGCGGTATATTTTATAAAGTTACACTAAAAATTTTCAAATGCAAACTCCGTGCGTGCTCCTCCAGCTCCCCTTTGTTTGACCTTAACGCGTCAAAACGGCGTTCCCAAGCCCCCAACTGGTTCTTCGATCACTCTGTAGCTGCGCCAAGAAGATGTCGGTCAAAGCCAAAATCGGTCCAAGCATTCTGAATGCCGATCTCGCAAACTTGGCTGCGGAGTCCCAGAAGTTACTGGACAATGGGGCCGACTACCTGCACCTGGACGTGATGGATGGAAACTTTGTTCCGAACCTCACCTTTGGTCATCCTATGGTCAAGAGCTTGCGCAACAAGATCAAGGTAATTTGGCATTATTTTCGCTGAACTAGACGAGATATCAACTTACCCGTGTAAACCCACAGACCGCGTTCTTTGAGACGCACATGATGGTCCAGAATCCGGAGCAATGGATATCACCCATGGCCGATGCGGGCGTTAACCTCTACACGTTCCACATTGAGCCAGTGGACGATGTGGGCAAGGTTAGTCGCCTGGTGCAGGAGGCCGGAATGCAGGTGGGATTGGCCATCAAGCCGGGCACCAAGGTCAGTTGAGGTTATGTTGATGATTCCAAACAAACGCTGTCACACATGTTTCCCCCACTACGACATATGTTAACAGGTGGAGGATTTGGAGAAGTACATCAGCATAGCCGATGTAGTGCTGGTTATGACCGTCGAGCCCGGCTTCGGGGGACAATCTTTTATGGCCGACATGATGCCCAAGGTGGAATGGCTGCGCCAAAACTATCCCAATCTGGATATCGAAGTGGACGGCGGTGTGGGCCCAAAGACAATTGAATGCTGTGCCAAGTCGGGAGCCAACATGATTGTCTCGGGCACAGCCGTGGTGGGCGCCACCGATCAGCGACAAGTCATCAAGGAAATGCGAGAAGTTGTACAGAGCTACATCAAGTGAAGCTGCATTTATCTATACTAAGTACTTATTAGGCATAGAGTGTAAAGAAAAAGACATGGGCAAAAATATATGTTTTTATACATTTATTTTCTAACATTTATATATATATAGTATGTATGTATGTGTGTAGGTATATATCATGTATGTATATATGTATGACATTTTGCTTTTAGCATTTAGTTGGTTATACGTTACGTGTTTGTGTGTATTATATGTAGTTACATTTAGGATTCTGCACTATTCCAGTTATTGTATGGCCGGGTCCCAAATGACCGCCGCTTTGTCAAAGTCAAAGTTATTGTCGATTTTTTGTCCAAAATAAATGTTCAACAATTTCACGGATTCCCTACAAAATTTGAATGTAAAACTTTTCATAAATTCTCAATGCTTCTTCCAATGCGCTGCGCTCGACCAGCTCAAAGGAAAAAATTCAGTTTTGTATTTTATTGTCAATGTTTGATCTTGTAAATTCCTCACAAAGTTCCATCTGTGCATAAATAACAAGTGCTTCTGCTTTAGCTTCTCATCAATTTATCATCATTAAACATATATTGTATATATGTATGCATGCATGTACATACATACTCGTATATTCTGATATTCTGAAACTTGCGTGTATGTATGTGTGTTTGTATACTTTATCTTTGCATTCGTGACACATGTAAATTCAACTAGTTTGTTAATCAGCTTCCTGGATTTTATTTTATTTTTGTTTTGCTATTTAATTTTTAATTTTGCTACATTTTCATTCAAAGTTTCGCTACAGTTTCTTGGTTTTCTTTATATGTATTTTAGCTTTTGTCATGTTTCAGTGTCATGGAGCAATTCAACTAGGATTCTGGGGCTTGTGCGGGCTCCCTATGCGTGGGATTGTTTGTTGTGATTGTAGGCATATTGTACTTAGTATTTATCTATTCGGCTAATTCATGCCGGGCCCCCCTGTCAGTCGGGAAGACCCTCGCATGTAACTTATTTCACTCAATTTCACTTGACGACAATGCTAAGCATTTTTACATTTACACAATATTGATGTAATTTTTGTTTTTATTTTTTAGACTAAGTGTACATAAAGCTAAGCGTTTTGATAGTAGCCTGGAGCATGCCTCTAGCATGGGTGTATAAAAATAGCATCCGGATGGATGGATCCGAACTGCAAAATGAATATCAGTAAGATCGAGAAACTAAATTGGAAGAGTTGAAACAAAAAGTGCATATATTTTGGTATATAATGCAGGAAATCGAAATAAGCATAATACTCGTATATGTATATCGTTATATGTATATATTGTCATTGATATATCTTTATCTTATCTGTTGCTCATGTCAGCTTATTCTACAAAAGCCACAGATTCTTTTGTGTATACATATAAACTAAGCTTTTCCACTTTGGGTAATATGCGTGTATGTATGTATAAATTTAGACACCATCACATCTGCTTACAAGCTACAGCTACAATATGTATATATATATATATGTAGAATATATATATTCCGTTATATGTATATTTCTTGTATATATTTCAGTTACATAATGGTTTTTATATTTTTCTCTGTGCATGTTCCTCTTAAACATGCTGTTGTGCCTTGTGTAATATGCGCTCATAACCCACCCCATTAAAACTAGTAATACCTTTTTTCCACTTGTAAACTGATTGTACAAAACATGCATGTATATAACATATGTATATACTGTATGTATACTATATTGTATATATATATATATATGTATGTATGTATGTATATAGGCCAACTAGAGCTATGAGTAATCGGTTATACGTTAGCATTTCTTGTCTGAAGAAGCATTTAATCAAGTTTGAGCTAGAAATCATAGATTTAAATAATGGAGCACATAAAATCCTAGCTCCAAATCCCATTGAAAACAGTATCCAAAGCTGTACCATTTTTTGAAGCTCAACTTTGTCTGTGTTGTTTGCTGTGTGTGTGTGTCGTGTGTTGTGTGGTGTGTATTCTGTCAGCTGAAACAACCAATTTTGAGTCTTCAGTTACGCATATTATACATTAAATTTTCTTAATTTTTTGTTCTCATTTTCAGTTAGCAAAATAGTTGTACCTTAGTGTGTCTACTAGGTGCTACGCTACGCCTAAGGTAAGCGTGGCATAGGTTCAGGTTCGTGGCATAGAATGAATGAGTGACAAAAAAATGTAAGGAAAATCATGGTGATAGTCTTTGTTGGGGCACATGCGAAACAAAATGATTCGATATGTAAATAGGTCTAAATATTTAGTTACATACTCGTGTTTAGTATGCTTATTATCTATTGTTATTCACTTCACCGTGTGGTGTGAATAGTAAATAACACAAGCACATACATATATTGATTACTACTTCAATATCGTTCATCATAGTGTATAGACGATTCGTATTCTAGATACATATATTAGATGTGTGTACGGTATGTGTGTATGTATGTATGTATGTATGTATTTATGTTCTGAACTCTTCCTTGTGACATTTCTTTTTGTTCTTTCGTGTTTTTAAAGCTGAAACCCACGCATTATATGTAGTTAGTATTTTCATTACTTACAGGCTAGATGCAATCATTTGCTTATTGTGCATTTGTTGTTATCTTTATTGTCAACAGCACGTTTGTTTTTGTTTTACCTTGCAGATTCATTGGTATAGGACCAGCTCTTGGAAGAAGATTCTCTGCAACGTCTGAGGAACACCTGTAGATCAGGTGCTTTAGATGAGCAACAAGTTTCCGCTTGTTTAGTTTTAGTTACATCATTTTCCTACAGGACTTTTAACTTATTTTCCGTTCTAGTTTTTAACACATAATAGTTTTTTATCTACTACTATATGTATGTTTTATATGTATATGTATATACTCGTACTTTTGTATTTTTTTTTGCGGCAATCATACATTTTTGTCGGGGGATTAATAAAATGTTTTGCTTGCCGTTTTTTTCTTAACTTATTTATGTAGGTATATAAAGGCTTCCGTTTACAGGACCTTTCAACACGAAATTCAGCTATTAAATTGATTTATTGTCCGGGACGACTTGGGATATTTAGACACATTTACCAATCGGTTAAGTTAGGGTATACTACATATATATCTGTGTCTATATATGCATGTACATATGTATATCGTTTATCTTCGTTTTTCGTGTAAATATATAAATCGGTTATTCAATATTTATTGACATACAGTTCCGCGTTTTTTTTCCAGTTTGGTTTGGATTATCTTCGGTTTTGCTTTGGTTGCTCTTTTGTTTTGGGGTCATAGAAATCTCTTTGTAAAAAAATTGACAAATAAATTCGGCAAATTGACACATGATTATGTTGCCCAAATCAGTTTTTGGGCTAGCTCGATCCGCGTCGAGATCCCCCAAAATACCGTAAGTTCAGTAGCAAAATATATCCTATCCGTCCGTCACTCACTGCCACTCGTCACAAGTATTTCAAGTGTTTCCTGCGTCTGTCCTCTGATGTTTCTCCCATCCCATCATATACATTACGTCTGAGTTTAGTCATGGGTCATGACCTTGCCGTGGGTGTAATAATAGGGCTTCCCGTTCCGCATGGGATCCGTGGATATTTTGGAGAGCATGTCAGGGCCGCCCGGATGCAAATCGTACTTGTTGACGCGCTCCTCGGCGATGGGTCGCGCATGCTTTTGCATCTGCTCCTGGATCCAGGGTACATACTGCACCACATTCGCGTAGACGCCTGGCAGCTTTGGGTGGGCGCACATTATGCCCCACGACACAATACCGCCGACAAACCAGCGGTCCTTCTCCCCCGGATACGGACAGAGCAGCGGACCACCCGAGTCACCCTGCAAATAAGTTCACCTTTATCCGGACACAACTCGAGGCGGTGCGAAGCTGCGACTCACCTGACAGGCATCCTTGCCGCCATCATCGAAGCCGGCGCACACCATACCCTCCGAGACGGTCAGATTGTCGAGCCACTCATCGCACTGGTTGCGCGTGATGATGGGCACCTGCACCTCATTGACTATGAACTCGTAGGTTGACTTGGCTGTGGAGTAAACAGGAGAAATCAAAGCAAAACTTTCCAGTGGCTCGACTGGACAGGGAGAGGGGCTTTACTCACGGTCCTTTTCCTCGCGCTTGCCCCATCCGATGACGGTGCAGAGGGTGCCGGAGTGGAGATTCCTCACGCTAGGCGGCGGCAAGCAGACGGGCAGCAGATGCTCGTGGAAGGATACACGCGTGGCCAGCTGGAGGGAGGGAAATCGAATGGATTGATGGTTGCGAGACCTGTACCTGCAACCTACCTGGAAAAGAGCGATGTCGTTGTCGTGGGCAATAGCCATGTTGTACTGCGGATGGGGAATGACCGCCTTCACCTTGACCTTCTGGCCCGTGTATGTGAAGGAGTTGCGACGCGTCACACCCAGCTGTATGGTCCAGTCCTCCAGATCGATGACGGTGTAGCTGCAACAACAGGCGGGCAACACGCAGGACGCCAGTAAGAGTCGGAAATGGATCTGTAATGGCGATGCGATACTTACTTGCCCACGCAGTGGGAGGCGGTGAGCACCCACTGATCGGATATGAGGACGCCGGCGCAGTAGAAGATCTTCTCGGGCCCGCCCAGAATAGCGGCGAGGAAAGGGCCAGTTGCCGGGATTGGCCTGACTGCCGCCAATGATCCGCCTGGAGGGCTTGTGGCGTCCACGCTTCACCCTGCCGCACTCTGTGTGGGGGTGGAAAGTAGCCTGTCAGCCCTGATTCCTGCACTGGAGGACTGCTCCTCGACTCACCATAGTTGGAGCACGTGAGCTCGGCCATGGGATAATCCTCGGTCTTCTTGCAGTTGGCGAACTCCTGCATCAGGGTGGAGCGCCGCTTGGCGTACATCTTCCAGATGTCGGTGGAGACGTTCACCGAGGCCAGCAGCGGACGGTGGGTGCGCTGGGTCAGGACACTGGTGGCGTTCACAGCCGAGTAGCCAAGGATGGAGCACACGGCGCTGGGGGAGACGGCCCGATCCCAGTTCTTCACGCAGGCTGGCATCCACTGTCGCTGACCGATGCGGTAGACCTCCAGCACCCCGGCGCCCACGTCCCCATTCCGCTCACTAAGCCTTACTGCAAAGGCGATGGCAATAGTTCACGGGAAGGACTCAAAAGGAGACTCAAGGCCAATACTCACGGCAATTGCGCTCATCCTGGCCGTACGGACAGTCGATGATGCCATCGCAGATGTGCTTGGTGCCAATGCACTGGTTGTCCCCACAGTAGATCTCGTCCTGGCCGCACCGGTTGCAGTTACCCTCGTCCTTCTGGTCCATGCAATCCAGGTGGCCATCGCAAACGTATTCCATCGGCAGGCAACGGTTCTGGTCGCACTGGAAGCCATCGCATCTGGGATTCGAGGCCGCTATCATAACGTCACGCACCTCCTCCAGACCCACGCAGTCCTCGGAGCTGGGGAAGTCCTTGAAGAGCTTACAGTTCAGATACTCGGGCAGGCTCAGTCCAAACACATCGAAGAAGAAGCCGCATCGGCGCATTGTCTCTGTGCAGAGAGTCTTGCAGGGTGGCACTGTGGCACTATCGAATCAAGTGGAGTGGATTGATGGATTAATGGATTGCTCATCATGCTTCAGTCTTCAGTCCAACTTACCCACTCTGACCACACTTGGGCACGAAGAGCGTGCACAGGAACAGGGACACCAGCTCATAGCAGCGGACGTCTACCAGGGCCTCATACGAGTCCAGGTCCTGCGAGAGAGGGACCAGATTAATGGAATGGCAAGGAGCTAGCCCCATATTTACCACTTGCGTCTCCAGCTGGCCAAAGTGGCCGATGTAGTTGGGGAAGACCGTGTAGTTGTAGGGTATCTGGGGGCCCTGGCAGAAGCGCACGATGATGGGCAGACAGGTGCCGGGGGCGGGGTTCTTGCCAAAGCTCGAGTTCTCCTCCACATGGATGGTGTTGATGATGGTCTTGTTCACGAACTTGATGGTCGGATAGGCGTTGAAGTACGCGGCCAATCCCCCGGCAATGGCCAGCAGAGCGAAGGCGTTGATCAGAATCTGGAACAGGCGGAACTTCAAGCGTCCGTTGGTGATGTATGGATTCGAGCTCTTGCGTCGGTTGATGATCTGCAAAAGGCATTGATTAGCCAAAGGCTTCTACGGGAGATGCGTCAGATGCATCTACCTGATGCTGCAACGACATGGTGTGGGGTGCTCCATTCTGAAAGCGCACAATCGTCTGCAGGCTGCTGGGCGGAGCACTCGCCTTCTTCAGTGGCGAGTGCGTCTGCGGTGGCTCCAGCTCCTCGATGGGCTCGTGCTGCACTCCCTGGCGGCAGACAATCGGAGCCGGGGCTAGGAATCGGATGTCAGTTAGTTAGATCGCTATGGCTATGTGCCTGTCCCCTCACTTACCGCTGCACAGCCGCTTTGCCGACAAGGAGGGCAGAAGTGGGGCTTCCATGAGTTTCGAGTTGTAGCCGGGGCTGGACGTCTGGCTGAAGCTATCGCTGGAAATGTTGGAATCCTGGCGGAAATTCATCTTTCCCCGCGGCGGCGGCACTGCCGGCAGCGTGTGCTTGCTGAAGCGTGTGGATGCCATGTCCATTAGCGAAGTCTGCTGGCGCTGGGCCATGCCCGGGTTGTTGCTCTTGCGACCGCTCTGGCTCGACGATGCCAACGGCAGGAGCGGCACCTCCATCAGCTTGGAGTTGTAGCCGGGACTAGAGCTGATGGAGTAGCTGTCGCTGGACAGAGTTGAGTCCTGGCGCTGCTGCAGCTTCGGGTAGACAATCGGTGGCGGCTTGTTGCTTCTCAGTTTGTTGCGCACTGTCAAAGGCGGTGCCGCGTGCACCCTGGGAGCAATGTCCACGGAATCAAAAGAGCTGTTCATTCGCTGTGGCGGCTCCGGTGGCCCTGGACGTTTTTGGCTGATGCTTGGATGGCCAGCAGCTGCAGCTGGAGCTTGAGTGGGCGCGGGAAGCCATACCCAAGCCCAGCGACATGGATGACATGGTGCCGCTGGAGATGGTGCTGGAGCCAGCCGATGCGGCTGACGATGTGGACGCCGAGGCGGACACGCTGCTGGTTTCCTTATTGGACTCGCCCCCAGAGTTGTTGCTGTTGCTGCTCCCGCTGCAGGGAGGCGCAATCTTGACTGGTGGCTGCTTTCGGGCCGGCACCATCGGAAGCTTGTTGCTGTTGCTGCTGCTGCTGCTGCTGTTGACGACGATGTTGTTGTTGCTGGCCAACTCGACACCGAGGCCGAGACTGTTGGGACTGTTGTTGTTGAGCTTGTGCATGGCATCGTTGCGCTCCAGCCGGAACGTATCCTTGGCCAGGGGCGAGTCAATGGAAATGGACGTGGGCTTCTCATCGAGCGAGGACTGTGTGTCCACCGAGGAGAAGCGGCTGCGAAAGTCGGCGCTGGTCGAGCTGGAGGCAAAGCGCTCACTGTGTCCCCCCGAGGAGCCGTAGGCGGAGTCCACGGTGCTGCTGGAGGAGCGCTGGGCCCGCTTGGCCATGTGGCCCAGACCGGCGTAGCGACTGGCATGGTAGCCGGCGACCTTGACAGGTGTGGAGGTCAGCGACTCATCGAACACGGAGTTCTCCAGGCTCATGCGGTCGTCATCGGAAATACCATCGGCATCCGTATATCCGTGCGCCGGACGTGTGGCTAAGTCAACAAGGAGTGCTGATTGCAGCCCGGCTGCCTCTGTGGTCACGTTTGCTGGCTGCGGATAAACAAACACTGTGCCAATGGCGTGGGCGCCTTCCTGTCCTGCTGGGCTCGGCTGCGGCTGCCAGCCGGACTTGCCCCGCAGCATGCGACGCGGTATGGGCGGTGGTGGCGTGACTGGCGTGTCCACACGTACCAGCTGCTGCTGCTGCTTGGCCTTGGCGACTCCCATTGCCGCTGACTTGCCATATTTCAGGTCCTGCGACGACGACGGGCCATAGAAGCCATGTAAGAGGTTGAGGGAGAGACAGCAGAGGCTGGGTGAGAGTTTGTGTGTGTGTGTGTGTGTGTAGGTGAGTGTACACAAATAGCTATAGCTTGCCAAATAGCAATATTCCGCGAGCTGTGGCTCAGTCTAAGCTCATGAAGCCAAATCCCCTGGATGCCAGGCCGTGCAATCCAGTCCGGACGGACTAAGGGACAGGGCGGACTAAGCCGCTAAGCCGACTGCACAAAACCTGTCGCAGCCTCGTCGCGGATTCAGCACGAATGGAAAATAGCGGAAACGCGAAAAAAAGGGATTTGAGCCGTCCGCAGGATTTGTAAAAAGAGGACATTTTCCCGTCTGAGTTGCAGGTGAATGATGTCGATGATGACAATGTTATGTTATGGCAGATGGCTGGCAGGGGGGAAATTACTCGCATAAAAAATGCAGAGCCTGCAAAGCTGTATAGCCAGAGAGATGACACATCAGCTGTTTTCAAGCTGATCTTCTCTGGCTCTCAGATAGATGCTGTTGCCCTGTGCGTTGTACAACACTAAAGCCCTGAACTCTTGAATAAAAACGAACTTTCAACTGGCTTTTCTGGTTGTTGGACTTACCAGGATTTCATTGGCCGCGTGGGCCTGCTGCGACGGCTTCTGCATATCCTCGAGCATGGGGTAGTAGTGGGAGGAGTGGCGTCGCACGATGCTGCTGCTGCTGCTGCTGTTGCTGCTATGGCTGTTGCTGGGCAGTGGCAGCAGTGTGACGGACTTGCACTGCTCCTGCTGCTTGTCGTAAAAGTCCAGCAGGGAGTTCAGGGGTAGCGCTAGGCTGGAGGCACGCTCCGAGCTGCAATGGGAAAGGAAACTTGTTCTGTTGAGAACGGCGGCAGGATTGGAGGACGTGCGGGCACCTCCTTACCGCGAGCGACTGCGCTGGTCGTCGTCCGAGTGCGGATGCTGCTCCTGGGAGACGCTAAGGAATTGTTTATTCATGTCGGCTGCGTTTATGGCTTAATCTTTCAGGCTGAAATGGTAAACGGCATGGAATCGATTATCACAGTGCGTATGTGAGCCACATGCGAATCGGAAAAAAATAATTACAGTTGCAACTTTTGTGGTCTGCCTGCCATGCATATCCAAATCGAACTATTCACATTCCGACACACAAACATATTCGGCCTGGCCCTGGCGGTATGTGCAAGTCATGCATATGAATCTGTTACACAATCGACCCCATCACACACACACAGAATACAGACTGGGGAATACAGAGCAACTGGGATAGAAAAAGCCCGAGGGAGAGACGCGGACACGTGACAATAGATCCCACAATACGTACACACACACACACACACTTGTACGGGACGGAATGTATTGATGCCATCTGCATCATGCCACGCAATTTGGCCTTTTGTGTCTAATGGATGCCATTAGTTGGCTCACAACACAAAGAGCTGCCTGCCTCTTCCTCCGGGCTCACAAATTGGCTCACACAGTGGCACTGACTACTGTCTATGCTGTCCCCTGCACTCCCTTCATTGTTTTAGCCGAAGGGGAATGAAGTCATATTACATATGTATGTATGTATGTATGTTGTCTCTTGGGCTTTAAGGATGCGCGCTTCAAATGCCCCGAATTGGATCCACTGCAACTCCAAATGGCAGCCCGCATCCACCAATTGAGAGCATCGGAAACGGGAGTTCTCGGAATACCTTGATTGTCCTTTGACATGCCGGGCATAATGAAATATTGCCATATGTGTCTGCCTCTGCTTTATTGCATTTCGCAAAAATCGAATTTCCCTCTTTGAGGGCCCAGTCCACAGGCAAGCGTCCCTGCATGGCAATATTTCCATATTTGCTGTCGTTGAACCAGAAGGCAAACGCACAAACGGGTTCCAGGAGGAACAGCCACAGGTCACATCGATCGATCCCTGCCCACTGACTCTGCACGAGTCGAGTATGCAGTGCATACATATGTACATATGTATGTACCATAATCGGGGGGCTACAAACCTGGAAAAGAGTTTCGTCAATATCCAGTTGTGACCTACTTAAATCGGAGGCATTCCACAGAGTCCGATGCCAGAGCGAGCCAGTCAACAGGTGACGCATTGCCCGGAGGGTGTGCAAACACAGAGAACAATGAAAAAACACCCCCCAAAAACATTGCATACATCCTCCTGGCAGCTGCAGGCCACCCACTTAGTCGGGCAGAGCAGAGCAGAGCAAAGCCGAGCTGTCGGAGTTCATGATGTGTCAAGGACGAGTATTGACACTAATAGGATGCAATCAACCCGGGCAGGTGAGAAGGCGCCATCTCCATTTCCAACACCACCACCATCACCATCACCATCCCCACCTTCATGTCCATGCCCAAGACAGTGTCCATGTCCATGTCAGCGTCGTATTCCCGTGTCCTAGTGTGCATGTGCATGGGGCATGCTCTTCCAGAGAGAGTTTCTAACTAGATTCACATTTTTCTCTCTTGTATATATGTATATTTATACATACTAAACCATAAGTTGATAAGTTTTCCCCTGTTAAAATTAGGGTAATGGAAATGGTATAAAGTTAGGCCATGAAACTTTATTTATGGCCAGGAAGAACTTTTTTTTGCTGTGGAATTGGTTTATTGAATCAACTAAACCAACTGCTTAAATTAGAACAAAATTATAAAGTTAAATTCGATTCCGAGTAAAAAATGCAGAGTTTTAAATGTATTAAATGCCACATGAAAAACTGCTAATGGACAAATTGGATTATTTTTAATTGCTGAGTTATATTTTCTTACAAATATAATGGGTCATCATCTGCTATATACTATATGTAGTACATACGAGGTACATACATAGGCACATAGAAATCATCAGATGCGGTTTTCTTTTCAGTTCAAATACACATTTAAAACGTTCATTTATCAGGCGCTTCCTCAGTTTTTTAAGCAAATATGTAGACACACATGGATATGCATAGAAGTTGGCTATTACCACACACGCACACACACACACGGACACAACCAAAGTGTATATTTAATATAGTATATGTATATGGAGACAGGATAAATATACAAATTCTATTTGCTTGGCATTTGTATGCTGAACAGCAATTCCAAACTCATATGAACCATAAATTGTTTGCTTTTGTGTCGCCCAGCTCCCAAGCTCCCCAGCTCCCCTGCTCTCCTGTCCTTCCACTCTCCCGTTCCAGCCACAAAAAGTTTTCCAACGAATTTGCAACGCAAAAGCAATCAGGCTCAGGCTTGCCCAGGAAGGAAGGATGAATGGACGGACTGGGGGACATGGTGGCAGATGCTTTTAAATTACATTAGGGACGAGAACCTCACCTCCATTTCCATTCCCCACCATTTCTCAGAAATCTATCGCTGACCTTTGGGTTATTATCCAAATTGTTGGCGCATTTGCCAAGTGTCAGACTCTCGAATTCCACTCACAGATCAGAAATCTCAGTGATGTCAGATGGGACCAGCCTCAGCCCCAACCCCGCTTATATAAGTCTGAAAAGGTTGAAATTCCACTAACCCAGCCCAGCCCAGCCCAGACGGGACTGGACTGGACTAGCAATTGTTTCTTATGCGTCTGATATCTTTGGTACACATTATTAAGTATCCGCCTAGTTGTTCGGATGCCTTTGGCCCTACCTCTGCTGCTGCTCTTCTTTCCTGCCACTTTTGCTCTTGTTGCTGGTTGAAAGTATTTGCTCCAAGTATTGCGCATGCAAATGGAATTCTGAGCTAATCAGCAGACGAGAAAATGCGGGAAAATCACCCCTAACCTAGGCTCGGGGGATAGCACTTAGCCAGCACCAGACTCAGCAGTTGAGTAAAAAGAGTAAAATCATAGAAATATCAACACTTGTGTCCATTGTCCATGGCCCAGAGGGACAGAGGGTCGGAGGAAGGACGTGCGGGCCAATTATCGAGGGTCGGGCCGAATGTCTGGCGGCCATTTCTGAGGAAACCAACATCCTACATCCTGCCAAGACTGTGCAATCAGGATCCCATGACATGGGTGAGACAGATTAGGCATATGTAACATATTCAAATTCCGGTTTTATTTTTTTATCGCCCTTGGCATCACAGCATCACCCAGACCGGGCCCGTGGTCCTCCCAAACCCCGTTCGAGCCAGAGTTCTAGGAATTTCATTACAAGGACATCCTGGTCAGCAATGCCGGAGAGCGGATGCAGATGCAGGGTAACCAGTAACCTCTTCAGCTGTGCCTAAAATGTGCTGGCAATTTCTGTGCACGCACCTCTCTCTCTCTCTCTCTCTGTATCCACTCGTATCTGTTATGTATTCACTTTAGGCTCGTGTCTCTGGCTCCAGCCATAATTTAAATTTATGGCCGACTCGTTGCCTATGCTCCCGCTTCCCCATTTGTCGGGGCCGCCACACATAAATTATGGCTGAGCATTTAATTAGTTTGTGCAGCAGGCGGCACACGGCCTTTCCAGGTAGCTTTGAGGCCTCATCCGTCCTGTCCGACACCGGGGACCAAAGACGAAGCGAAGCGCCGCCCTCGGGAACTTATAGATGTCAAATCATATACTGGGAGACAGGGAAGGCAGTCACACCACACTCATCTTTACTTAACTTCAAAGGCATCCTTCAATGCTGGAGGATAGACCAGATAGATACCTCTTTTTGGAAGCGAGTGTCCCTGCTCAGGACGAAAGACAGGACAGGGACAGCGGCTGCTGGGCACGCCCATACAATTAACAAGCGACATATCACAGAGCACGACTAACGAGAGACAGACAGCAAGATTTGGCCATTGTTCGTAATTGTGCAATCTGCTGATTGCGATGGTGTGCGATATAATGTGATTGTGAATAGGCACGTACGTACCACACACGAGTCTGGGTATGGGTAGGTGTACACATACATTTATACATATATCCTTCTATGCCAGCGCGTGCCGGGACGGAACGGGTACAGGGAGAGGGAACGTCTTTAAAGTCAAAAACAGACAACGAAGGGCGAATTGTTCAACCATTTAAATTTGTACTAAGTACGAGTATGAGTACTCGTATATGTATAACTCATACGAGTACTGAAACCTATCTGCTTGCCAGCGTTTCCGCTTTTGCCAGCAGCATTCAGCATTTTGATTCCATTTCCATTTTACATTCAAAAGGCGTTCGACTGATTGACAATCTGTGTCAGGGTGGGGACAACGAACTCCTTCCTGGGAGGAGACAATTTCATCCCAGCCGATTGGTCTCCATTTCGCTGCGTCTCATTTCCGCTGCCTGATCGGATCGGCCACATGAGCTGCCACATGAGATGCGATGCACATACTCGGTCCCCAGAGCACTGCCTGGAATTGGAAGCGATGCTGTTTGCCTGCCACTCAGCTGTCATGATTGATTTGTGCACGAGTGCCAGTGCCAGTGCCAGTGCCAGTGGCATCGAGTAGAGTTTCCGACGCGGTACCTTAACTAACTTACACAACTCACTCATAAGGCTATTTGCATGGCGCACAAGCGCTAAAAGTTGTACCACAAGGAGGCTGTCAATGGTGGTCGATGTGCAAATAGAATGAGTCCATCCAACGTTCGCTCTGATTTGCGAGAATTTTGTTCTAGGTTGTTAGTTGCATTTCCCTGACTAGCGCAGCACAAGTCTTCTGCCCCTTCTCTGATAAAGATACACGCGCAGCATCACTTCACGGTCGGGGGCCCTTATTGAATGATTTTAATGCTATTGCGGCACAAACAAATTACTGCGAAAGCACAGAACTAAGGCTGCCTCATTAATAACGAATCCAATTATAAATGTGAAAAATATATATGTAACAGACATATGTATGTACATGTATGTATGTAACATATATTTAGGCGGGGAGCAAGGCTAGGCAGCAGTAGCAGCGAGGATTGCAACAAAAAAGCTGATGACAAAAGAGAGAATTGAACAATTTGTATTTTTACACTCGTGAAAGAAGGGGAGGGCACTGGCGTTGAGGGGGGTGCAAAATCCAACCTTTTGCTGTGCTACTCATTCGAAAGGACTTTTTGCAAGTGTAATAGTAGTAGATGCGTTCACTGGGTTGGGATGGGGTGGGATGGGATGGGATAGAATGGGGAGCACATTGTACACATTGTACGTACAATATTTACTGTCATCGTCAACGCCATTGTCCTCTTTGTCAGTTCACATTTTGATCGGCGGGCGGGGGGGGGGGCTGTGTATGCTGGGGAACGGGGCCTAAGTCCTGTGTCCCGAGTCGTGAGTCCTGGGCTGACATGCTTTACTTGCATTAGTCAATGCGACCAGGCAGCGCTGACTGACACTGGCGCTTTGTTTCTGACGTCTCGCTGGGCCGCACGTGGCAGGCTGCGGCTTATGAGTGTCGTTATGTCTGTCAGCCTCCCCTCTCTACCCCCTCTACTCCCTCTACTCGTATGTCTCTGTACGCGTGTGTGTCAAGTGGCAAGAGAGATACGATACAGTTTGCAGAGTGTACGAGTACGAGTATATCGTGCGCATCGAACCGTTAACGGTAGACAGTGCCACCGAACGAACAGTGGGGCAGCGGGACAGTGGGGCAGCGTGGCCGTGGTCATATGCAGCATACAGTGGGATAGATAGAAAAAGGAAAGGCAGCATTCGCAGTCCGCCCTGTCGTTGCCATTGCCCCCACCCCCCACCCCCCTCTTTTCGATTTCAGTTTCCGTTTTGTTTCGTTCGCATTGTCGTCGGGTTTTACG